TCAGCCAGAAGGCTTGATGCTGCAGGGGCACCTGGGTAGACTCTGACACTGTCCCCATAGTAGAAGGCAAATCATCTCCTAATCTTGCTGTCTGTATACTTTGTTCTGGGTTTTCTTCCCTGGCTTATTTTGTGGCTTTAAGAGTGGATTGTGTTGTGAAACTGTGATGCCTGTGGCCAGTACTGTGGTCCCTGTCCATCACCATGGTCCCTGTTGTCTGTGGTCCTGACTTTCTCCTCCCAACAAAGCCGTGTATGGACTGACTTATGTTTCTTGTTCAATGAAGTTAATGTCTTGTGTTTTTGTCCAAAATTATATTGAAAAAGATAAATATTATATTGTGTAATGCAAATTGAAGGAATGCAATAAAGAGTAAATATACTTGAAATGTTGTGTGGACCAGTATTTTATATCAGATAGCACTGATCACTGACAGGACTATGGAGGAGGTTCAGAAGAGAAGCCCCTCCTTGTCTTGTTATAACTAACACAGGAGATGGATGGTTTGTAGAGGGTTCAATTCCCAGAACCTGCATGGCAGCTCACAGCTGTCTGTAACCCACACATGTGGTACACAGATATGTATGCAAGTAGAGCACGTAAAGTTTTAGTCCAGATTAGTCCAGCACTCGGAGCTAGAGGCAGGCGGATCTCTGTGAGTTCAAGGTCAGCCTGGTCTACATAGTGAGTTCCAGGACAGCCGGGAATCTGTAGAGCAGTGGTTCTCTTTGGAGTCAAATGACCCTTTCACAGAGGCCACCTAAACTATTAGAAAACACAAATATTTATGTGTTTATGTGTAGCAAAATTATAGTGGTGAAGTAGCAACAAAAATAATTGTATGGTTGGGTCACCTCAACATGAAATGAATGGAAGGGTCAAAACATTAGGAAGGTTGAGAACCACTGCCATAAAGTAAAGAAAATATTTGAAAGTTCCTTAAATATGCAAATATACAATAATTTTCATACTTGTGTTTGATACTTATTTTACCTTAAAATTCTGAGCTCTGAGGCCTTGAACTCGGTTAGTAGAAAATGGAGGGAAGCTGCTCTCAGTGACATGGCTCCTCCTCTGAAATGTGCCACCTGGAAGATGCCTGCACTCCAGTGTCTTTCCATGGCTCACTTGGTTATTCTTTACACTTTCTGCATTTCTCAGACATCAGCTGCCCAGCCCCAGCCCTTAGGACAAGTAAGCCCAGAAAATGAAAGCTGTGTAGAGAAGAGGCTAGCTCTAACTAATCTTGGGATAGCAGTTGCCCCATGCCAGCTTGGGGAGGAGGCCCCAGAGGTCTCCTTATCTCCAGCCCAGAGAGAGCATGGCCATGCTGATGAACCATTCCTACACAGTTTTTCACCTGGTATCAAAAAGACTTAAGTCGTCCTTACTAAATGTTTATGTCTTGGTTTAGGGTACCCCCCATGTAATACACAAATAAATATGTTTATATTTGTAGTTAGTATCCAAAATGTGTTTTAAGGTTGTCTTATTGTAGCCTAAAAATTACAGTGAGCAGCCTCTAAGTTTTAACCATGTATCACGGAATTGTGGAGGAGATGCAGTTATGTCTAACAATCAAACTCTCATCAACAGACCTGCAGAAGCAGAGTTGACTGTAAATACCAGCCTGACCAAACACAGAAGGCAAGGGCAGGATTTCGGTTTGCTCACCTGGCAGTTGGGCCACCCTTTTCAAACAAGGGCCTGGGCCAGGTTTGTGAAGAGTTCAAAAATGCATGTAAATTTTGAAAGTTATTGAAAAATGAAAGCCACTGGCAACTGCTGAGGCTGAGTCCCAGTGACAGCCCAGGAGGGTGTGAGCACACTGATGCCATGGCATAATAGGAGACCCATGGAGGTGAGAATTGGATTAGCAAGGGGGGGTGGGGTCTGGTGGTGCACACCTAAAATCCCTGCACTCGAGAGGCAGAGGCTGGAGGATCAGCACAAGTTTGAGGCCAGCCTGGTCGACATAGTTCCCGGACAGCCAGCACTGCAGAGTGAGACTGCCCACTCTGAAATTGCAATGGCATGTCTTTGTGACTCTCCAGCAGGGTCCCCATAATGGACAGCCATTGTTTGGGGGGATTGATTAGTGCTGAGGTCGCTGTTTGCCTCCTAAATTCTGTTAAGCCAGGCATGGCAGTGGAATACTGTGCTTTATCCTGAACTCACTTCCTGGGTGTGAATCCACCATTCATGCTCAGCAACACATGAGACACCCATCCGGCCAACCGAGAACAACCTCACCCCATTTGCCTGGCTATTCCTGGCTTCCTCAGCTCCTCTCCCTGTATTTGCCTCATCGTGAACTCAACAGTGTCTTCAGAATAATGTGGCTTTGAAGAAAACCTCACCATAGTGTCCCCTTTTCTCCTCTCAATATATTTTAAGCTTTTTTTTTTTTTTTTTTTTTTTTTTAAGGCAGGGTCTCTCTACGTAGAACTGGCTGGCCTAGAACATGGAGATCCATCCATCTCCGTCTCCTAGGTGCTTAAAGACATACACCACCACGCACAACTTAACACATCCTGCCTCTACCCTCCAGGTGCTTACACAGGTGGGACAAGATTTCTAGGGGCAAAAGGTGCTCTTGTGGTGTGACAACACATCTCCACCATCAAAAATAGATTGCTTCATTTTCTAACAATGCAATGCGAGTAACAGTTATTTCCAATAGCGGTAGACCAGGAGAAAGAAAGAAAAAAAAAAAAAAAAAAAAAAAAAAAAAACTCTTTAGCTATCCTTTGAATCATTGTGCCAGGAACACTGAAAGCCCAGGATGTTTTGTAGGCAGGTCTGAGAACTAAAGGACCATGTATCATCATAACAGCACACCTTTAATCCCAGCACTCGGGAGACACAGGTAGGTGGATCTCTGTGAGTTCAAGGCCAGCCTGGTCTACAGAGCTAGTTCTACAGCCAAGGCTACACAGAGAAGCCCTGTCTTGATAAAAAAAGAGATGACAGGATGAGCACCTCATGTGAGCCTTCCTGAAACTCCAGCCCAATGAGAGTGTCCTTTCCCAGCAAGTCCTTTGTCCAAACCAACCTACAACTCCAATGTTGATTGGCCCAGAGTCAGGGCAGGACACACCACCTTGCCATCCTACTTACCTCTTCCACAATTCAGCTGTTGTACAGAGCTGGCAGGGGGCAGCCATTTCTGGTCCAGCTCTGTTTTCAGTAGAGTGATTCCTCATTCCCAAACAGTTGGGAATGTGGCGAGGAGGGAAGTAATACAATGGCTGGCCCTATGACCCAATGACCTGGGCCAAATCTTGTAGAAATATCTGAGACCTCATCATACATGTGGAGAATGTTCAAGCCTGTGAATGAAACTGGCCAGATTTGTTCTTCCCAAATTGGAAATTCCTTGTTTGATGTTGACTTAGTATCAAGCAATCCTTTATAAGTATCATGTCACACCTGCTGTTTGTGACTTGCTTGGACAGCAGAGGAAATGGCCGTAATTTGACCATGACCTTTAGATACCCTTGACCTAAGGATGAATCTGGAGACTCCACACACTGTACAGTGTATCTGTTTGAAGTTTACCTTTTCTTTAATGACTTAATGGAAAAAAACTGCATGATGAAATAGATTTTCTCCAAATATATATATATATTTATATAATATATAATCTTAGTTAACTCAAAGGTATATACATTATATAATAAATAATATTTATAAAAAGAGACTTTTTGAATATAAAATCAAAAAGATCAACAACTTCTACAACTTTTTACAAAACTTTGGATACAGCAGGTTGGTAGGAAATCCCCATTGGATACTATTACCTGACTATGGCGAGGGTAATTACAATGCACTCATGTACTATTATTAAATAATTACTTGTCAGCTACTTGAAACGCCCCAGAAACATGACTATCACTTTTAATATAGAATACAGAGATATGAAAAGACTCGTAAATTTTTGTATCCGTTCTGCTGAAGGGAGCAAGCATTATCCAGTTGACTTGATTTCAGACTTCTGGAAGGAGAGGCGGGAGGGGGCATTTGGGGCGCTAGGAGGGGTGGGAGGAGTACCTTGAGCAGGGCTCATGGTCACAGGGGGGACAGTTTAGGCAAGAGCCTACTTGGGCCTGCTTAGCAAGCCAACTGCACAACAGGAAAGAGGCTGACCCGATGTCAAGGCAGAATTAGCAGACCCCAGACAGAAGGGGAAAAGGACAAATCTTTGTTCTGCTCCATTCCTCGGTTGCATCTCCTCCTTCTGATCCTCCTTAGGACAGAGTTGACGGATCGATCCATGCTGCCACGCCCATCTTACTAATCCCAGCCAGGACCATCGTGCGTACATCAGAACAGAGCTGGGAGCTGCTTCATTCACCTGCTTGCCTCTTTGAACCATCTAAGCCAGACCCTTGGGAACTGAGATAGGCTACCTCACTCATAGGTGGGGAATGAGTCGGGTTAGGAATCTCTTGTCTTTTGGGTTATTCAAGCCAAAGGGAGAAAAGGACTCACAAGGGAACCGGGAATCTTCACCCTCCCCACCTACCAGCTGCAAATTTGGAGTTTCGAGATTGTTGCCTTGCTGGTGCCATTAGTTAACTAAGGTGCCCAGCTGTCCTCCCTGGTGAGCAGGGCTGAGAAGGGCAGAACAGCCTTCTCTTTCTGCAGGTAGTGGATGGAGCTGGAAGAGACTGGCCTCCATAGCTAACCTATTTACAAGGTGCACCATGAGAAACACATGCAGTAATGGTGGAAGCTGCAGAAATGACAGGAAAAGATGTTGAGATCTGACCATTTCTAATGCAGAGCAGGGCTATAGATAAAATGAGCTGGAGAAGAACTCAACTATTCTTCCAACGGCTTCCCAGGTGGCCCAGAATTCCAAGTTCTTCAAAGCTCAAGATCCCGCTCCAACAGCTCAGGGCCTCCCTGCCACTACATCCCAACAAGACCTATGGCTTTTCTCAGAATGGGAAAGTGTGTCCAATTTGAATGGGTGTAGATGGACAAAAGGGGATGTCCCATTTCACAACTCCCACCTCAGAGGCATCTTGGAATGTCACCAGTAGAGGCAGCTGGGAGATAGAACCTTGCCATGTTCTTGTCTTTCCCACCAGGCCAAGAGCTCGCATTAGCCCAGCCTGTTCTGTTGCAGTAGAATTTTTTTTTTCATTTTTATTTTCTTTAACATGTGCAAAGGTAAGCCTCAGGTCTGTCCCCAGCAGACCCTGGAAAACCAAAACAGAAAGCCCCTCTGTAAAGCCATACACCATCCAGAGCAGGGTGAGAAAAAATGTTAGATGAGAAAGGAGGGGCCTCCGTCCAAAGCCGGCTGGGTCCAGGTTGTTCATCACATGCAGCTGGCAAACAGTCCATGCTCCTTGCCGGCCAGTGCCGAAGACTGGCCCAGATCTAGATCCTGCTTCCCATGGGACTTCGATGAATGGATCCAGCCGCACAATCTACCCCTTCCCAGTGGCCTTTGGGAAATAAACAGGAAGAATCAGAAACCTAATAACTGCTGTTGACATCGCCCCCTGGGATGCAAAGATCACAGGCTGCTGACATCGCTAACTCTGCTCCCCTCCTAACCTCAGAGCCTGCTGTGGAAGAAGATGCTGTCTGCAGGAACAGTAGTCTGCAGCCACAAAACTCAAACCTCCTTGTAGCGGAGGAAGCCTGCTTTAAGTAACTATGGCAGCACTATCCTATGGTAGAGGCGAAGAAAGCTGGTATTCTGAGGCACCAATCAGTCCCCAGCAGGGCTAGTGCCACCAGACATATGCGATGTGTTTCTGCCCAGGCACTAGCAGCTTGCTGTGAATTGTCCAAAATAAAGAGGATCTACAAAACTAATTATGATGAATCCTTTCCCAGAATGCTCTACTGAGAATGTTTATTCCCTCTGTACAGTCCTATCCCATGGGATTTGAGGTACCAAGGCCACCTCTCCGAGATGAACCCGGTGGGGAAAGATGACCTGGATATGCCCAAGGATCTACAAAAGACTAGTGACAGACCCAGGACATAAGGCCACTTAGATGAGGTGACTATAGCTTTTGCAACATAGGGATAAAAAGCACAAACTTGATGCTTGTAAACTATGAGAATCCAGGTACCCGCCAAGAGCTAACTGGAGACAGTGGACAAAACTCAAGCAATGAACAAAGTGTCTTCCCAAGGACGTGGATGCTGCCACTATGCAGTATGGAGGGTATGGTGAGCATGTGTCCTGCCCTGTCTGCAGCTCCTTTTCTGCCTGATCTGCCAAGAAAAATGCCTACTGGTCCCTTGGGTTCCATCAGTAGCATCATCCATAAGGCTGAGAGAGTGGGAAGGAAGCGGGTCTCAACCAGCTTCAGGCAAACCAGGCTGCAAGAACCTAGAGAAAGTAACTCTTGACCAGCCCTGCTGGGCCTCAGAGTCTCAGAGCACTGGACCCCAGGCCAGGACCTTCAAGGCTGTGTCTGGGCTCCCAGCAGCCCTGCAGGGCACAGATCTTATCAAGAGGAAACCAGGGCTCAGAGAGACAAAGGACATCACAGTGGGAGAGAGCTTCCTTCTTATCAGGAAGTGTGGGTTTGAGAGCCCCACTATGGGACAGGATTGTGGTCTTGAAACCATGTCTACATGACCCTGGAAAAACACTAAGTGTCTATTGTAGAAATGTAAGGACAAGGAACTGCTTTCTTTCCTTCACAGTACTTGAGAGCGAGCCCAGTGCTCTACTACCCAGCTACGCCGGATTCTTCTTAAGGGATTGTTTTTAGTACAAGGGCTGGAAAGGAGCAATTTTCTGGACATCGAAGGCCAATCCAGAACTTTCTTCTCTGCGTGGAGTCCTTGCCCACAAAGGCAAGGACTGAGTCACAGGGTCTGTATCTGGAACTCACACTGCCCCCATGGGTCCAATATGAGGCTTGGGCTGCCGATGCTGTGGCCTTAGCAAGCTGACACAGGGGGCTTCTGGGGATAAGCACATGGGTCTATCTAGGCCACTAATTCAGTCTGTCCTTCAGTGAAACGGGCATGCTAGACAAATGGCCCACCTACCTGGCTAGTGGGAGACTACACCCACAACTTCTCAAGATGGCCAGAGCTAGTGTCATCTAATTGGGGCAGCAGGGCTACTTCTTGCCATAGTGGCTATCAGAGAAGGTGACCACCTGTGGTTTTCTGACATCCCTTCCATCTCAACACACCAGCACTATCTATAACCTGTGAGCCTCAGTACTCGCTGAGTTTTCTCCTATCCTTTCAAAAAGCAGAAAGAATGCCAAGGTGATGCCATTCCTTTGCAGCAACCCCACGCCGATGCTCTGATGGCTTCTGACTAGAGCTAGCTTCAGAGGAGCATCCATACCCGCTACCTTAAGCCTCAAAAAAAATGCAGCAAGGTCCCCATTCCGCCATCACTGCCCACGTGAGACGGGCAATTGAGTGCTCAGGCTCAACCAATGTCCTCCCCACCCTTGACCTTGATACAGAAAACTCACCCCTCCTGTATGGTTCTAGCCCCTCCTGGGATGGAATGTAAGCCTTTGATCAAATGTAGTTCCTGGGATGTCGGGTACCCCCAGCTCTACACAGTGCACACACAAGCCACCAGCTTCCATGTGTCACCGGCCACAAGGAAGCGGGTGGAACACACTGCTTTGGCCAGCCATAAACAGAGAGCAAGCTGCTTTTCCATCAATCAAGCCCTGCTTCCCCCTCCCCATGTTGTTTCCCTCATTCCTCACAGCAGCTCAGGAGAGGTAACAGATGTTGAAGCCAGAGGTGTTGGTTGACAAATGGGATAAGCTGGCTGATAGTTGGACCTAATTGCAAAGCCTGTAACGCACATCAGACCCTTCTTGGGGCAGAGGAAGGTAGAGAGAAGGGCCACACTGTCCTGAGACACCTCCCAAGCAGAAACACTCTGCTCCTAGGCTGACCTTCCCTGGGGTTTCTCCCACGCAAGCAAGCCACCCCTGAGAAGCTTGGGGGTGTAATCCACCAGCCTTTTATCCCATGGTTACTCACCACAGTCACTCTGAACTGGGATCCTTCCTCCTTCCCATCTCCCTCCATAAACTTGGTGAGAGTGCTCCCTGCTCCACCCAAGCTTCAGATCTTGCTCCCCCCACCCATCTCCCCAAGCTCTGGAGGATTGTGCTAGGTCAAACCTTACCCTCTTAGTTCATGGCTGGCGTGAAATGACTCTGCCCCAGCTATGACAGACTTTACAGCCCACTGTTTCAGGCTTTTTTTTTTTTTTTTTTAAGACAGGGTCTCACTATGAATTCCTGGCTGTCCTGAAACTTTCTATATTTAGCAGGCTGGCCTTGAAGTCATAGAGAACCGTTTGCCTCTGCCTCCTGAGTGCTGGGATTAAAGGCCGAGACCACCATGTCCCACCCCTGTTTCTGGCATTTGTACCCCTCGTCCTTGGACAGTAAGGACACCGAGGCCCTGAGAAATGAAAATTAGGGGCACAGCTGGGACCAGACCTCAGCATCTCTCTTCTGGCTGCACAGATGCTCAGGAACGACAGCCAGCAGCCATGAACAAATCTGGTCTAGCTCATCATAGCTAATTTGTGTAAGATTTTTAATCAATTGCCTATGGCTCACGTGCACACCGTTGGTTATTACCTAAGCCCGGTGTAAATCTGCTACATCACTGCCCAAGGCCATCCCCATGGAATCGTGGTAAGCCCTAGAGTCCTACTACGGCTAGGGAAACTTGCTTGTCTCGGGAAGCTTAGAAACAGAAAGCAGGCCTAAGGGAGGAGAGGGGAGGAGAGCAGCCCTGCACCCAGGCCCGCACCCTACCTGGCTCCCTACTTGCAGGTGTGCACATCGTAGATGCGGATGCACTCTTGGCAGCTGACATAGCAGCACCAGTGAAAGACGCAATGGCATTTCTCTTTCCGCTTCTCCGTCCTCGTGTTGTGGCCACGGCCACAGCACAGCAGATCACAGCCATCGATGCCATGGGAGGTGACATTGCAAGTCCTGTCCCTGGTACCAAAGGAGCCCGTCTCTGGGTTGGGCTCACAAAAGTTGGGGGAGTTCTCATAGTAGACTAGGTCCCTCTCGGTGGGTGGCTTGAAGAGTGCGTACTTGGCTCGCAGGGTCTCCACCCAGCCTCGGGACTCCCGATGCTTCTCCACCACCATCTCTGAGGCGCTGTCGTACTTGTCCTTCAGGAAGTCGCCAATGGCACGGAAGTCGGGCTGGGCCCACCAGCAGGTCTTTACCTCACAGCTGCCAGACAAACCGTGGCATTTGCACTTCAGGTGCATGTGGTCCAGGATGGTCTGGGGGGGAAAAGAGCAGCAGCTAGCCCACACTGACCCACCTAGGGAACCCTCCTTTACCCTTACTCGATGTCAGGATGAATGGATGGGAACCAGTGTCCCTAGTCACACCCCAAGCCCTGGCAGACTTCATTCATACCTCATCTGTGTGGAGTGGTGCAAACTGGGGGCTATTGTGCCACCTGCAATGCTGAGGCTGGGAGCTAAGTGACTGGCTCAAGGTTCCACAACCATAGGAAGCAGGGAAGGCTGGACTCAGAGTCAGTCCTCACCTCACAACCAAATCACAGACCTACACAGCCAGCCTGCCAAGCAGCACATAGTCTGTGGGTGCTTACTCCTGTAGGGCAGCCACACTCTCTGACAGACTTACTTCCCCCAAAGAACCAGGAACAGGTTGATTTGATTTGATACTAGAACCTACATCGTGGAGAAAACTGACTCCTACAAAGTGTCCTCTGACTTACACACGCAGGTACACACACAGACATGAATGCACACGAGTAAGTAAATTTACAACCCACTCAGGAGCAGCTGGGGAAGAGAAAGGAGGGTGGTCAAGGGGGTACTATAGGGGTGTGGGTGGGACCTTGGCCCAGAAGGGCCAGGGATCCCTGGTGGGCTCCTCGAGTTGTGGGTAGCTGACTCACCGTCCGGCCTGCCTCGTTATTGTGCTTGTTCATAGCTGAGCGAGCATCAGGTCTGTTTTCCCGTGCATCGGCAAACTCCCTCGACACCAGCACCCCGAAGTCAGCATCCTCGCTGCAGCCTCCCCACTTCCAGCCCTCTCCAGGTGGCCCCTTATGATGTGAGTCGCAGCCGCAGATGGTGGAGGTACCCTCGGCGCAGGAGCGCGTGACAGCGAAGGCTACACCAGCAGAGGCGATGGCGTGCACGAAGGCTGATTCGCGGGTGGCTGCAGAAGGATGTTGGAAGGAGACGAAGACACTTAGGCTGGAATCTAACACAGCCTTGCCTCTGAGGTCTGGGAAAGAGTTCAAGGGCTCACCAGCCATTGAGGGAAGAGGCAGGTGCCCTCCTGCTCCTCTTTAAAGAGTTCAGACCCTAGTTGGTATTCCCACTTTACAGATGGGCAAACTGAGGCCAGAACTGCAATGGGTCTATGATGGGATAGGGATGATCACTGATGAGCTGAGATGGTCATGCCCTGTCCTGGCTCTTGATCTCCAACCTTGCACCTTCATAAGCACTCCTTTCCAAAACGGATCTCAGCCCTCTACTTCACACTGCAATCTGCAGCCTAAACCACCATGTTCCGCCCAAATCAGAGTCCTCATCCGAGCTTCGCATTACACTCCGTAAAATGGGAGCAGCTTCTCCCGCCTTAATTGCCCACTCCCTGTCTACATCCTTCAAAGCCACAAAGGTCAAGACACAAGGCAGTTTTTCTGCCTCTGGCCCCAGGGTCCCGGGAAGAGATGTTGCTAGCTTTTTTTTTTTACAGTAAGAGCCACCTCCCTGAATGCTGCGCAAGCACAGATCTGTCTTTCCGGTGCTTTATTCTCTAAAATGTTCTAAACTCTATTTTATAGACAACACCGAGAGGCCAGAGGTCCAGAGTGGGTCGTGCCATATTGCACAGGTAGTGGGACCCAGGACTCCTTTGCTAGGTCGTGGCCCATCCTTAATATAAAGTCCTCATAGCCACAGCAGCCTCTGCTGGCACGACGCCCTCACGCGCCACCTGCCCAGCAGGGGCGCGTCCCACTTTCCCCGTAGCCAGGAGGGGATCGCGGAGAGGGAGCAGGAGCAGCAGCGCGGGCCGGGCCTGGGGGCAGTGCGCGGTGGTGATTCGGGCCTCCGGGCCCGCGCGCCCCAGGGGAGGGCGCCCCTGGCTTCCGGCGACCTGGCCCCGCCACGCTCGGTTCCCAGCGCCGAGGCCGCGGGGGTGGCGGGGGCGGGGCGGGGATTAGCCTGGGAGCGGCGCTGCCAGCCCCGCTGTGCCGGTCCCCGTCCGGCGGGGCCCGCTGCGCCGCTCAATCCGCCTTTGTTCGCGCGGTGTCACACCGCATTACCCGCATAATGCGGCCGCCGAGCCCCGGCCGCCGGGCCGGCCGCCACCGCGTAGCAACCGGCGGCTCCCGCGGCCGGGCCGCGCCCCCAGCCCCGGCGCCGAGCAGCGCGATCCCCGGGAGGCGGCGGCCAGAGGGCGTGTGAATGGCGCGGCGACCGCAGCGGGCGCGCGGCGGGGGGCGGCGCTCGCGCCCTCGGGGAGCCGCGGGGGACCGCGGCCTCGAGCCTTCCGGCAGCCCACCCCACACCTGCTGTGGGACGTGAGCAAAAGTGGACAGGACCCACCGCCTGCTCTCGGGGCACCCAGTACGCCTTCTCCGAACCTCACCCCACTGCTTTCAAATCCCAGTGTCTCCGCCCCATAATCCCTGCACATCGGGACACAAACTGCTCTCTTGCCGTGGGACGGAGGCATGTGGCGTAATCCACTGAGGCGAATCTAAACACCAGGCCCACAGAGAACCGGTATAAAGCTGAAAGGTCTGGGTGGACGATGTCCTGGGCGGGAGGCGTCATTAGAAGGCCAGTGTTGCTTTGGGGGAGGCGTCGAGACGCCGGGCTGTTTGATTAAGCGCTACCTGGACTGAGGTGGGGCGCCGGAAGGCGGTGAGACCAACAGGCGTGCGAGATCAGGTTTGAAAAGCCAGCCGCCGCCGCCACTTGGCCCCAATTAGAGGCCAAACCTTTTATGTAAACAAGGAATAATTAGCTTTGATAATAGAAGCGTAAACAGAATCATCATCCATTGATTTGCTAATTGCCCTCCTGTCCCATGACAATAGCCAGCGTTTTTTTGCCTGTAGGTTGTACAGACCCTTCGCACTTGAAGCACAGGTGGGGGGAGGGAACGGAATTCACTCCAATCCCGAGGGTAGTCACCTCCTCTCCCAAACTCAGCTCACCCCTCCTCTTTCTGGCTGTGAATGCAGCTTTTACCAATTCCTTCTAAGAGGAAGAGCACCCCGCTCCCCCCCACCCCAACGGCTGGCAAAATTCCAGTCGAGGCCAGCCCTGCTAGGGTCATTAAATTCCTGGACACAAGAGGTTCTGGAGCCAAAGTCTCCTTAGGAACAGTAGCCCCACTCATCCCTCTCTTACACCCCATGCTCAGAGTCATCCACTACGGTCACAGCTGGTACACTTCCAGGTCTCAAGATAGCTGGGAGCGATCTACAGGCCACCACTTTATGGGCTTGGACATGGGAACCAACAGGAACTCTCAGGGGACCCTTGGAAGAAATGCAGTGCTACCAGCACCCGGCAGCTTCCTCAGATCTGGAGACTTTTCCATGGCAGAACACCTAGGCCTGGCACCATCCCACCCCCACCTCGAAGCTCTATTTGCATAGTACTTAACACAGCATAAGGGAAATGTCACACATGTCCACATCAAAGCCTGGGTCCCTGCTGTGTCAGCCAGGAAGGAAGGCTCTGGGCTCCTTGGTGCCTGCCCTCCAAAAACAGGACCCTGCGGCATCTCAGGGCTACCCAGCCCCCTGCAGCACTGGAAAAGATGTGCTGATGTGAGACAGCCTGGTCTGTCCAGAGATGGACCCCACCCACTTTCCACCAGCTTTATTACCCTCCTAGGGAGATCTAGAACTCAGAGTTTCCCACGGTGGGAAGAAGGGGGCAGGGTTCTGGGACCCTTCCTGCCAACACCATTCTCCCAGTCACCTCCCACCCAGCCCCAGGCAAGTACCTTTGTCCAGGACAGGCCCAAAGATGGCCAAGCTGTCATCTATGGTGGTACAGTTCCATCGGCGGCCCCGGAACTGATGTTGGCACTCCTGGATGCCCAGCTTTACGCCTTCTGCTACACTGGGCATGATCTCGATGTAATTGCGGCAGAAGCGCAGTTGCTTGGGGACTAGGCCTGGGATGGAGCCGCACAGCAGAGGTTGGGAGCCCAGCGATGTGTACTGCTGGCCCAGGGCCAGGGACCTGCAGGCAGACAATGGAATTGGCACTGTAGACACAAACCAGGTGGCTCAGTAAGGATGTCATTTCTTCACAGAGCAGGGATGGGATGGGATGGGATGATCCATGGCTCTGAGAAGCCTGGAACCTCATGTGCTGCATTGGACGTCCTTGGGGTGTCCCATGAAGAGCACAGCAATGGTTTAGGCAGTGTCTCTCTGCCATGGGCACATCTGACTTGCATGGTATGTGAGGCTACAGAGCCTGATCAGTTTTTGAACATCTCTGCCCCTGATGAAGAACCCAGGTTTCCAGAACACTTGCCCCAGGCTTCTTGGGAACAAGCGTGTGGCCAATCAGGGTATGCTATGGGCTGCCTCCCAGCACCCTCTCCTTATACTAGACTCTCAGAGTCTTGCTCAACCCAAGGACTCCAGGAGACATGGCACACAGCCCCGTCACTTCTGGCAGCCCTTTTTTTTTTTTTTTTTTTTTTTTGGTTAGGAAGAGATTGAGGAAGCAGAATTGGGGGTTTTGAATTGGTGGCCTTGAGCCATGTCAAGATCTGAGGGTCCCCAACCCCACCTTTCAGGACCTCCTGCATGCCTGGCAAGAGACCTCCCATTGAGCTCTCCCCAACACAAGCCCCTTTGAATAGGAAAAGCCAGGAACATAGTGGTACATTCCTGTAATTCCAACACTTGGGAGAAGCAAGAGGATCAGGTATTGCAAACTAGCCTGGGCTACGAGAAACTGCCTCATAATGGTGAGGAAAGAATGAGGTAGCCACCACAGCATTAATGTCATACCATCATGGCTCCCTTCACTAAGTGCCATTTCCTCAAGTTGCCTGATAGCAACCCAGCACACTCTGGGGACTTGACTAGCTGCATGGACCACAGAGACATGAGGCTGCTGTTAGGAACTAGACTGGCTCCAGAGCTCCTTATGGGCAATGCCTGCCCAGGAAGCTGGTATAACTTCAGGCCTAACCTGTCTACACCGTGGTGGGCTCATGTCTAAGTGGGAGACAATAGTGAGCCCAGAGCCTGATGGCACATGGCACATGAAGCCCTGGAGGGAGGCCACCCTGTGTATAGAAGAAAACACCCAACATGTATTACAGGTCTGACCTGGCTGGACACAGTTCTAAATGCTTATGTCTACATCTGTGATGTAGAATCTATCGTCATCACTAACATCCCATCTCATAGACAAGGCAACCAAGACAAGCTAAGTAACCTGCCTGAATCTTCAGGGCTTAAAGTGCCAGGGATGAACCCCCTCCTGGCATGTGTTCTCTCTTCTCTTCCTTCCTTACACCCCTTACCACGCCCTTTCCCATCACACAACCCTAGTCTGACACTCACCTCCCCCTCTCCCAAAGCCCAAGTCATTAGAAAGGAAAACCTAGCAAGGGCTCAGTGTAGATCTCATCATCATGAGTTATGCTCACCCCAAACCTGTCCCCTTATCCTCGATCATACCCAGCTGTCTTCTCAAGCTGCCCATCCAAGCGATTTCCTTAACTTCTCCACAGCCCAGTTTCTTCATCTGTGAGACAGACCTCACAGGAGGAGTGGAGGAGGATAGCTCAGTGCCAGGCATATCAGAATCCCCCAAATAATGGTGGCCACCTCAGGTTCCATGCCCCTTAGTACTTTGTCCCTGCCATGTCCTCATTTCCCTGACTTGGAACATATAACACACCACAATTTCCAAAGCCACCTCCCATCAAACGAGAAGGAGGCCTGGACACAGAGCTGAGACCCTTCACCAACAACCCTGACAGGTCAGGCAAACCACATCCCTCTGACTAACTGACAGGCCAAGCTGAGCAAAGCCATGTGTGACTTGGATGAATGTTTAAGCTACCCAAAGGGCATGGGAGCATTTCCAGGATGCTCTGGTCAAAGGTCTCAGTAGATTTGGACATCCTGTGGTAATTAGCCCAGGGCCTCTGGGGATGGGGCTCAGATCTATGGACAGCTTTGGCCCCTTGAGGCTGTGGCCTTGGGATTGAATTCTGTAGGACAGCTGCCCTCCCAGACATGCCCTGCCGGCCCTGAGCTGTGCCCACGCAGCATGGCTGACATTCTATCATCACAGACATGTCAGTGTAACCCACTTCTTGTCCCTATTACAGAAAAACTCGCCCCCCTGGGAGAGTCAACATGAGAGCCTCCTCTTCTCTCTCTCCCCAGTGTGAGTGGCTTTGATTAGATTTGCCTTCAGGACAGCTGAAACTGATTCACGCCTTTTGCAACTATGGAGCCCTCCACCTGAGTGCCTCTCTGCAGGGCACACTGAAGGCAAACTCATCCTGAATCACCTCTGAAGGCTTCCATGAGCTCCTAGGCAGATGAAACCTCCTCTAGTCGAGTTCTGCACCTCACCACAGAAGGCTAGCTAATTTATTTGCAGCATGTCACACAAAGGGGCGTGTCTTTTATTGTTTTCCCCCAGCCATACACCAGCACACTTAGGTTCCCAGGCAAGAAACAGAAGACGCTCCAAAGAGCCAGCCAGCCTGATGCCCCCACTCGGCAGGTTCCAGGAGGCCGGAGGTTGCACCCACACACAGGACAAGACTCCTCGGTTCCGCTGAGGGACTTCCTACAGTGAGGATCTGAGATGATGGCCAGGCTCCCAAAAGAGGTTGGGGCATGGCTGGCACCAGCAGCTGGTGAGGGGGAGGACAAGACGGCTTGCCAGGCCTGCCCTGCTGGGTAGGGGCTATTTATACCCAGCTCCTGTCCCTTTCTTGTCCTACTCTGCCCAAGGCCCTATTGCCTTCAGCCCCAGGGACAGCTCATCCTTCATCCCAACCACCCACCATCCAGCTGGGCCCAGACAGAGATGAGCAGCCAGATGAATGGGCCATAGGTGGAAGCAATCTGTAGGCTGATCATAGGGACCTGAGGGACCCTATAAGAAAAATGCCACTCTCTAATTAGGCCAGACTGAAAACATCCCCATAGCCTTATCAGGTCCTCACTGCCACCCAGTTCTTTGTCACCTATGTGGACATCTGCGGGTAGATGGCTGTGGGTGTGCATGTGGCAAGATCAGACACACAACATTTTCCTCGCTGGAGAGAGCCAGAGACATTGCCCATTCTAGGCAAGGGCTCCTACTTCTGAGCTACAACCCTAGAAATTGGTGCTCTGAGACAAGACAGACAAGTCTGTAGCCCATTCCGGCCTTGACCTTGTAATCTTCCTGTCTCAGACACCTGAGTACTAGGATCTAACTCAGACAATTTCAATGGGTTAATTTGCATTTTTATTTACACATATAATTAATTGGGAGGAAAATGGGGGAAAGATCGATAGCAGTTCCCAAAGAAAGCACAAGTGGCTTGTTAATACTTTTCACAGTGAGAAATAGAACTCTTAGTTTTGCTTTTGCTTCAGAGACAGGGTTGAATGTATCCCAGACAGGCCTTGAACTCCCTATGTTGCCAAGGATGATCTTGAATTCCTGAGCCTCTTGCCTCTACCTGAGTGTGACGATTGTTGGCATGAGCCTCTGCACTCAGTTTATACAGTGCTGGGAATTGAACTCAGGCCTTTGTGCTTGCTATGAAGGCAAGCTACCAACTAAGCCAGAAAATTCAGGGCAGCCTAGCTGCTGCATTGACTTAAAGAGAAGTATCCCTGTGGCCTTAAATACCTGCAGACTCCCACTAGCTCCCAGCATGACCGAGCCCCTGCTGGAGCCAGGCGGGCTCTGCCTGTCAACACCAGGCTCATCCTACCTGGTAGCCTCCCCTGAGCCAAGCATGGCTTATTTTGTTTGCTTTTAAGTTTAGAGCCTCCTAATGCACGACCTTAGAGATTAGGGAGGTGTTGGAGGTCACTAGCTCCAGGCTGTCTTAACTGTTGACTGTTTTTGTTTGGAAATGAGCACAAACACAACATCCCTCCTCTCCCTATATATAAAATATTTAAAGAGGGATTTGCTCGCTCGTGTTTGTGTGTGTATGTGTGTGTGTTAAGTGAACACAGGATTTCCATAGGATCCAGCAGTCCCAGCCTAGCTTCATATTCTACATCAATGAATGTCTAGGGTGATAAGAATGTTCTAGAAATAATGGTGGTAGTTGCATGACAGTGGAATGTACTTAAATGCATTGATTCATAAAAGTAATTATAGCTAAACTGACCAGGACTGTGTCTACCTGGATCCCTCGACTCTTCAGGAAACTTTTGGAGAGCACTGGTCTGCTCTATTTCTATGGGAACACCAAGGCTTAGGGAGATTTTGTTGTTTTTCTGGGTCACCCAGTTGACTGGAAAGATCAGGAGCCGTGGCCTCAGCTCTGCTGCCAACAGGCTCTTCTCCCTGCACCACTGTCCCTTCCTGTGAGTCCTGGGATACGAGAAAGACTAATTCTCAGAAGCTTCTCTAGGGCTCGGAGGAGTAGACAGAATGTATTTCAGGGCCACAGCATAGCCCTCTGGCTCCTCCTTTGGTCTTGGTTTGAGTGCTGAGGTCAAGCCACCCTCATCTTGGGATCATGGGAATCCCTGCCCGTCCCTTCTCATGGAGATAAGTAACCATACTTCCAGCCTCAAAGAGGGTCACCATGAGATTCTGCTCCACAAGCCTAGGACTCACGAACTAAACACCCAGGTGTTGGGAGGGAGAAGAGAGCCGCACTCCCCCAAGGTCTTTTTCCTGCACAGACCACAGTGTTTCCAAAAGCCCCATAAAGGAACAGAGCCAGGTACTCTGTCCGCTGGCTTCTAGGCAATACTAGACAGAGACAGAGACCCAACCCACTTCTGGCCCAGCAGAACTCTACCCTGTCTGTGCAATATGGGAATTTCTAGGAGACAATCTTGAGAAATAAGCAAAAAGAGCCAAGGTATGGCCTTTCCACTCAGGCAAGGTAGAGCTGGTGGTTATTACAAGGGAGGGGACAAAGTTCCCTATGTGCCTGAGGGCTGGGAAGGAGCTGAGCCTGGTGGGTCAGCGTTCTCTGTGGGCCCTGGAAGGGAACATTTGCCCTGGCCCTT